CCGTAAAAAAGAGGAGAATGAAAGTTTAAAGCAGGTTCAAATACAACGGTTCTAGACGGGTTTCAAACAGCAACCAGTGTCCCAGTAGAACTGCAATGGCTCCTGTACAAAAGAGATAATCCAAAGTAATTTTCTTATGATGATATGTTGTAGCACAGAAATAACTAATTGATCCCTTGGAACAATTTAATTTTTGCAACAGTGAGTTAAAAAGGAATGTGTTGTGCCTTTAGCTTGAGCCACGTTGATACAGGATCACAGTCTATCTGCTAGATTGGAGGTCTGCTTCCTGCAACTTTGGAGATGCAACTGGCTCTGTGGCTCACATAAGATGGTAAACGATGAAATGCCGCCTTGTGTTTTTGTCTCATTCTTATTTCTTGTGTGGTGTCCCCATTTATTTATTTATGTATATATTTATTTAACAGCATGCAGCATAAAACATTTTGTTTTTCAAATCAAGTTGAGCATATGTGTATCGTGGAAATCTCAACACTCATACAACAGAGAAATAAGCAGAGATTAAACCTGAATGTTGGCCCTTGCTCAAGCACGCTTTGACGTCAACACAGCAGAGTTGCCTTTACTTCTGACTCATTAAAGTCTTTGGTGTTCTCTTCCTAAAGAGCTAAGGTTTCCACGAAGAAAAAATATTAGTAATGTTAAAGGGATTTACAATCAAACCCAACCTGGCCCTTTGTGAAAAAGTAATTGCCACCCTAAATCTAATTACTGGTTGTGCCAGCTCTGGTCACAACCACTATGAGTTTCTTAACTGGCAGTACATCTTTTACATTGCTACAGGGGATTTTTGGCCTTCCTTTCTTCGCAGAATTGTTTTAATTAAGTCAGTTATATGTTATTCACTTATTAAAAAAAATATTTAAATAGTTGATTCTCTCTCTTAATGTTTTTTTTTTTTTTTTGAAGGACCAAAGGGCTCACTGACAGCTTAACTCAGCAAATCACTTTATTTATTCCAAAAAAACCTGCAAACATGTTACCATTTTAATTTGTTATTGCCGTTTTAAAAAGCGCGCATTGCTTGTGAAGGCGTCAAAATCGTTATCATCAACACTCTGAAAAACTGGCATTTAACACAACTTTTACCGCATGATTTATTAACAGAACCTGGCAATATTAAAAGACAGATGGTGTTAAAAACCTTAGTCAGAAATAGAACTTATGAATTCAGTGCAAAATAACTAAATGTTGTTAGCACAGGTGTATTGTTGCATTGTGTTGGTACTTGACAGGTGAATTAAAAACTGCATGGAGATAACAAATAATGAGCATGTTTTATTCTATAGCTAATCCAACACTTAAAAATTGTTAAATTAAAGCATTTGTACAGTTTTTATGTCTCAGGTTTCACACATCAAAAATTAAACTGTAGAACACATGACGCTAACACTGTTTTGCTTCACCTCTATTCCCCATGAGACTTGCCTATACTTGCTGACAAAAGCATTTCTTTCCTTCGGTCTACCAGCAATCTGATGCCAAGTTAACACCAGACTGTTTGTCAGTGGAAATACAAAGAACTAATCACTAATCACTAGCACAAAGCGGGCTGCTGGAGATTCTTAGGAGTAGCTTTACAGACAAAACAGAAAATAAATTTACCACCATCCCCGTCACAACAAATACTGGTGGAGCACATGTGAACGATATCTGTCGGATGTTTCTGCGTATGACGAAGGTGCCAAATTCCCTGGCTAACATGAGCAAAGTGAGGGTTCATCTAATTTGACTGAAGATGAATACATGAACTAAAACTGGAGTATGGACCACTTGTATCGTGACGTCACGCGTACAAGATACCGCCTCCATCTTCCTGCTGGAAGGCAAACAGCTGCTGGCTGACGATGATTAATATTGGTTTTCGCTGCTACCGTAAGTTGTCGATATAAAAATCTTAAATGTATGCCTGCTAAAAGAAGAAGGGACGCACTCCTTTGCTACTAATTGTCAACAGTAGGACAACTAGACAAGGTAAGGAAACGGTTTTAATTAAGACAAAAATGGTGAGAGAGAGGGAAGTAGTTCAGTTATGCTTGCTTAACTGTGATAATTAACTTGTAGATGTGATGTGGAATTTGGCGTGTTTCGGTTCAGTTACAAAATAGAAAAAGGCGTCCCACCAACTCTGACAGACCAGAAGTAGAGCAGGTGTTTGCATTAGCTAATTAGCTACCACTGCTGTTAGATTAGCATTAGCAGAAGACGCTAACGACCTGAAAGTTCTGTTCTTTGTGTGGGAAATGTTGGAGTGTTTTTCTTTTTTTTCTTTTTTTTTTTTTTGGTGTTGAATCCAGATAGATATGGAGACGTTATTGTCAGTTGTGAGTCTGCGTGTAGAGAGCGAGAAAAAAGAAGAATAAAGTGGTTTTGAGTCATTTTCAACGGTTTTTGTATGTTTCTTTTCCCCTTTGCTGTGGCACACTTAACTAAATTAGTACCTACATTTACAGGGTTCATTTGGTTCACAGAATTGCTCTGCCGCTGTTGCTATGAATTGTGTACAAAAGGTATATTAGTTTTTTGCCCTCCAGCATTGTGCGCATGCGCAGAATTTTCGGACGTAAACAATAACCTGGAAGGGTCCATAGACATTTAACTTACAAATAGAAGAACCATAATAGAAATCTGGATATCTTTTCATAGCACTTTATCTAAATCTGACCTTCGTTTTCCACAATTCAGGATTTTATTTTTCATTTTGTATTAGAAATAAAGCTTATTGCATTTTTCATTTTGCTATACAATAATAAAGTACTTATGTATTTACCCACTTTGACAAGGTATTAAAGATAAGATGATTTAATTAATTTCCTTTAAATATAAATCTAAAATAAAAAAGAGCGTAGGAGAGACATTTTCTTGTTGCAGCGATAGAATAACTCGTGAAAGGCGAATTGTAATCTTTACCGTAATGTGATCATCAGAAGTACTCTGAACAGGTGTAGGTTTTCTCTTGTATGTGAACCATAGCAATATTGTCCTGACTGTACTCAGAAAAGAGGGGGAGATGCATGGAGGGAGAAAAAAAATAGATCAATTTCTCGATTTCCGGGCAGGGGGCAACAGTGCAACATAATTTGGGAATTCCAGGCCCCAGGGTGCCTTTACACTCTATTTCTTCTAGCTGCTTATCAGTTCAAAAGTATGCTTTTTGGTTTTTTTACAATTTTAACCTTTCCTCACCACCTTCATATCCTATTATCTGCCCAACAGGCTTCCCCCTCCACTTTATTTTCTTCTCTCTTTGGATATGCCAGCACTGAACTTTCTAAGCATGTTTCAAACTGTGAGCACAAAATCTGGTGAATGGATAAAGCTTCCTTTGGGGAACAATGCAAAAAAAAGTAAAATGAAGAAGTGACGACCAAAGAGCTGTTATCATAAAGGAACGGCACAATGGGGGATGGGGAAATGATGGGTGGAATTAGTGTGGGGGAAGGCCACAGTATTAGGACAATCAGCACAATAATCCCTTCTGTTCCAGTCTGGCCCGGCGGAGGATTTTCAAATCAATTTCATTTTCGCTCAGAGGCTACAGTTGGTGGGGCTGTGAGTTGGGTCATTGTGATGTTGTTCCAGTTTAGGCTCAGGCCAGAGCAGAGGTGAGGGCCGGCAGGGTGAGCTTTGAGGGTGGAAGGATGTGAAGTCTGGCAGACTGTTCTTTTTCTTCTCCGTTTCACTGGTCTTTTACAATGGCTCTGAGACATTCAAAGGTTTTCATGTTGGCCAGTTAGATCTGTCTGATGGCCTGCAGAGACAAAGCATAGCCTATTCACATAACGTTCAGAGGCTCTCTTTTAAACCTCGCAGACCAGTACAGTTCAGCAGGACTGACTGGGACTCCATCAAAGACTCCCAGCCAGTTATGCTTTCAGACTTCAGTTGGATGTTTGCTGGTTCATCCGCAGTAAACACACCATGACTCTCCAAGGTCTTTATTATTTGCTTTCAACATGTTTTTGTGAATAACTCAACAGGGAATTCACAGCTGAACTTGTTTTTTCTTCTTTTTGATACAACTGAATATTAAAGGAGAACTTTTCCCTAAAAGCAATTCTACTCCATTTCCCTCTTTACCTAGGGTTTTGTTGGTAAAGCCAGACTGTCTCTAAGTGCATATTTAAGATACTCAGAAGTTTCTCGTTGCCTTTGGCAACATATAGAGGGCAGCCAGAGTGGGCTGCAGGACTATTCTTTCTTTCTCAGGGATCCTAAGTATGTCAGACAGCCACAACACTGCAGCATGTGTGTTATTAAAAGAAAAAAGACTGGAACTAGAATGATTTGTGTAACACATTCTAAATCGATATACTGTCAGGAAGTTAGGATTACAGTTTCCACTTTGATAGATGATTATCTCCTCTTTTCACTTAGGCATTGTCACTTTAATTGCATTTACAACTTTAAGAGGTTCAACATCATTAATTATGTCATAATGATTAATTTCTCAAAATGGTACCGATGCTGAAGCAAAAGCTCACTGCCAGTTCGCTGTAATTTAGCCATCAAATAAACCTTGAAAGAACAAAAGAAGTCTTTAAAGTGAAATGTAAATGTTTCACATGCTAGATCAGTCAGGGTGAGAGGAAATTAAAGCTGAAACGTGTTTCTTTGAGCTGTGATAACTGGTGTCCCCGCGGCTGGAAATCCAGATGGCTTTAAAACAGATTAGTGGATTGCAGTAAGTATCACCCCTGGCAGAGAATGCTCTGCGTCCACGCCCCCACTTCCCACAAAATCAGCAAATACCTCTGCGTTCAAACCCGTTGACACGTCCTGAACTCGCATCACCAAACCATAATTTCCATATAAATTACACATCTGGTTGCACATCACGTAAAAGAAGGGGCTAATTGTGTTAAATATATAAAATCATTGAACTATCAGGTTACTCCTTGGGCTGAGGAAACACGATGCTTTCTGTGATAGGTTACGTTGGTTTATCAAAGTTTTATCTTTAGTGACTCCAGAATTACTGTCCTTGATAAAGAGTAGATTTATGTCTACTGTGATATAAATCACTGACATTTTATGATTTAGGTGCAAGGATATGGATTTATGATTCACTTTCTAGTCAAGTCTTTTTCCTAATTCATAAATAACAGCATTTACAGTGAGAAATGACGTGCAAGTCTTTCTGGTGTTTCCATTCAGACTATCAGCTTCTTGTTTTTGACTAATCCAATTTATATAAATACTTGTGAAGAACCTTGACTATGAGCACTAGTGTTACTCAACTTTAATGTTGTCTAACGATGGCATATTTGAAAATGCTTTCCTGTTGTCTAAACAATAAAGCAAATAGCCACATTTTTTTTAGAACATCAAGGGCAATCATACCTTGTAAGTATATACAGCAAACTGCAAAATAATTATCAAACCGACCATTTGCTTCTCAGTCTTAGACACATCATTACTCTGAGTGGAGTATGGTGTTGGGGTTGAGGGATTCCTTTACTTTATTAAATAAAAGCTTCATACACATCAGTAACTACTCCTGGCTACCACAACTGCAGGTTCAGTTTGGCAGGCTAACTTTGGCAGTCAGAAATGTAAATATCCTATGTTGTATTGTATATGAATTTTATATAACTTTTCCTTTAGACTTTTTTAGATTAGATCCAGACATTCACCCCGTGATGTCCTCCACACTGCTGTGTCAATCTCTGCTTTGTTGTTTAAAAAAGGCTTTACAACAGAGCAGTGGGTCTTAGAGCTGAAAAGCTTTTTGCACATGCATGTTGTTGTGGCTTTTTACTCTCTGGATTTAGTTATACCCTTTCCCTTTTTGCTATCTGATATAATGTAAAGAGACTCACAAAATAAATTCCATACTCCATTAAAGAAAATATAATAAGATAATTTAATAACTGGCCTTACTGAATATTGTTTCATCTGCCATGAGAGCTAGCATGATTTATTTTGAGTTACATATTCATATTCTGCACTAGCACTTACATTAATGAATTTCACTTGTCACCTCTGGCAGCACTGTATGGATTTCTTTCAGAGAGCAACTATCAATGGCAACATGCTCTGAATTTCATTATTCTACTAATTTTTAAAATTATTTCTAATCAGCACAATATCAGAAGACCACAGTGGTAAAGATAAGCAAGATTAGAGTTGTTTTTTTTCCTCCTCTCATGCTACTAGCATTTGTGGAAGTACTTATAACTTCTTAGCCTGCCTTGTTCTAAGTTTTTATGATTTCTCAATATTTTAGCTGTAAAAATCAAACAACTCAATGTATGTTTTGTGTTAACATTAGACTTTGGTTTTAATTACTTTAGTTATTCAGTTGAATCATGTCCATACATAAGCTAGTGATGCTGACTCTTTTTGTCAACAGCATCACTAGCATGTGAATATGCAGAGTCAGATTCTGCAATTCTTCAAAGGTTGGAATGATATATTACTAGACAATGTTCGATACTTAGAATGCATTAGTGAAAGCATTGTGTGGTAACCACACTTAAAAAGGTCGTCTACCTCTCTGTGAAAGGGGATTCACTCACCACTGTATGCCTGAGTGCACTTAAATTAAAAAGTAGATAAAGTGGAGGTGTCTCTTTTTTTTTTTTTTTTTAAAGTCATAGCATAGTTTTAACACTTAATTAAAACATGTGTGCTTAAACTGTGCTGTTTGTGTAAAGGATATATTGTAGAAATATTAATCCTTCCTCTATATGTTTTATAATTTTAAAATTATGTAAAAGTGCAATATTTCATGCCAGTCATCTCAGAAAGTGATAGTCATTTTATAGTGATTCTTTACAGAATGAACCCCTTACAATTTTCATGTTTTCATAATGTAAAGCACTTTGAATTGTCTTGTCAAATGTGCTATTTAAATAGACTTTACTTGCCAAACGTGCCCTTAAAATCAACAATGTAAATTAGAAAACCTCCCACATTTGCTGCTAAAACAGTATTCCAGCTGAGACAACGGTATACAGACTGTGATGTTTGGTACTGGGATAGAAACAATAACTCCTAAGGTCATGTAGAGTGGTTTTCTAAAGGGTATAGCTTGTGCTTAGCTCTTTTATATTTCTGTGTTGAAAGTTCTAATCTGGGAAATAAACTTTGAGCACTTTGCCTGAAATTCTACTTGAAATGACAGTTAAGTTACAAACTTTAACCACTACAGCTACGTCTGAAGACCTATGATCGTTGGAGCAAGAAGCTGTTTATTTGCAATTATCATTGAATCGAATTACAATCGCTCACTAGTCAGTACTGGGCAGCCTCTAGAAATTAGGATGCTGCTGAACCATTTGAGAGCACAAAAAACAAAGTAAAGTAAAATGTGATTGTCTTGTGTTTGTAATAGAAGTTAGTGTGGTTTCCGTTCACAACAGTTAGCCCAGTGGTTCCCAAACTTTTTCTTCTGCGCCCCCCCAGTGGTTTCCAAACATTTTCTGCGCCCCCC